AAAAAAAAAAAAAAGTCTGAGGCCTCTGAAAATCAGAAGATTAGAAGTCTGTATATAATATTTAGTAGTGAAATGAGACTGGAGGTTCTTTCTTTCTTTTCTTTAATTTAGACATGAAAGAATCATGGAGATTCAAAGCTCCTAGTAACAGGCTTTTCTTAATAATACAACACAGTTACTATAAGGGCGAGGTGATTCAAATGGAATTCTTTATTTTTGTTTATTTGACACTTTAAAGAGAAATTACATATTTTTTTAGTGAGAACAATTCGGATTTTGATATAGGCGTGACTCCGACATGAGAAGTTAAAACACTTAAGGACTTTTGCAAAAATGACCAATACCTCTCAAGTCCTAGCAAATAAACCAAAACCAAACACACTGCCATCAAGTCGGACCTGACTCCTAGTGACCCCTGGTGGTATCTCTACAGAAGTAGATTGCCCAACCTTCCTTCTGAGGAGAGGCTGGTGGATTTGAATTGCCAGCCTTCTGGTTAGCAATAAATGCCTTAGATACCATACCACCAGAATTCCTGCACAAATAGTAAGCTCTAAATTACCTCTTAGTGATGATGAGTGAGAGAAGACTAGACCTATACTCAAAACTTAGTAAGAGAGGACAACTAAAGTCTCAAGGCAGAGAAAATGCTGTAATTTAATTGGCTACAATTTTGATAGCATAACTATTAAGATCATATGCCTTCATAGCTGATCTGCTTCAGTTACCCAGGGCTGAAAGATGTCTGGTAACAACTTTGATAACTTCAAGCAGAATGTATTAAAGATAGAATCAGGTTTCAGCAAGAAGAGTCTTATAGCTTCACCTTCTCTAAATAACTGCAAAGTCACAGATGACTGTTCTCTTCTTACATGTACTTATTTCCAGAAGAAAAGACAGCAAAGAGGATGTTCTGCAGAGGTGAGAAAAATCAACCCAAATTGTTGGATTAAAAGGAGTAGCCATCCTGGAGAGAGGGTTTTCACTTGAAGAATTTGTTGTGGAAACTGATAATTTGTTGTATTTGTGGTGCCATAAACCAACAAGACTGCAGACTTCCTTAAATGAAGGTGATAAACCCTCTTCCAAGCAGAAGGGCACACAGAGAAGCAAGCCTAAGAAGAATGTCTATACTCACCAATGCAAAGGTTATTTTCCTGTTCACCAGATGCAGAGAAGGTTACAAATGGCTCCATCACACATTCTGTTAGAATTTCTTACATAAGCATGGATCTTAAGTAACAGAGAATATATTTGAGCCACATTCTTAAATTATCTTAAATTTAATTATAACTATGT